GTAAACAAGTCAACCATCAGTAAACAAGTCAACAACCATCAGTAAACAAGTCAACAACCATCAGTAAACAAGTCAACAACCATCAGTAAACAAGTCAACAACCATCAGAAAACAAGTCAACCATCAGTAAACAAGTCAACACCATCAGAAAACAAGTCAACCATCAGTAAACAAGTCAACCATCAGTAAACAAGTCAACAACCATCAGAAAACAAGTCAACAACCATCAGTAAACAAGTCAACAACCATCAGTAAACAAGTCAACAACCATCAGTAAACAAGTCAACAACCATCAGTAAACAAGTCAACAACCATCAGAAAACAAGTCAACAACCATCAGTAAACAAGTCAACAACCATCAGTAAACAAGTCAACAACCATCAGTAAACAAGTCAACAATCAGTAAACAAGTCAACAACCATCAGTAAACAAGTCAACAACCATCAGTAAACAAGTCAACAACCATCAGTAAACAAGTCAACAATCAGTAAACAAGTCAACAATGATCAGTAAACAAGTAAACAACTATCAGTCAACAAGTCAACAACGATTAGTTAACAAGTAAACAATCAGTAAACATGTAAACAACAATCAGTAAACATGTAAACAACTATCAGTAAAGATCACTGGGACCAGACTGAACAATGAGTAACAAGAACAAATAACAATATTGAGTAATCAGCTGAAATAAGGAGAAAATAAAAACATTAACAAAATGTCACAAACAAACAACAATAAACAATAGAGAAACAACACAACAATGTAAATAAAACAAGCGGGTCCCATCCAGAGCTGCAGACCTGCTGCAGAACCTCCAGGGTCACTGGGTAAAACAAGTTCTCCACGATGATTCTCAGAACTGGACTCAGAGCAGGAACTAAGCCCCGCCCATTTCCTGATGACATGTTCCCAGAATGCACTGCTGCTGCGCTGATGACCTGCAGCGCCGCCTGAGCCCTCTGCCAACACACAAACAAGAAATAACAACAATAAATAACAGATATTTATGTAATCTTTGATAATCAGAGAAAATTACTAATTCAGATTTTTCTTATTAAAGTGGAACTAACCCCCCTGTGACATCATAACCCCGCCCCCAGGCATTTTTGAGAAATGGCAACAAAGTGGGCGGTGCCAAGAGACACTGAGGGAAAGTGAACAGGACAGCTAGCTTCATTGACAGGCTAACATGTGTGAGAACAGGTGTAGTGTGGACCAGGTGAATCAAATGTTCTGAAAACAGACTTTAATAAAGTTTGACATTTTGAAATGTTCTGCTGTGAGTTTAGAGTAATCCAGTCCAGCTTTGATCTGACTGGTTTTAATCTAGAGCAGATTAAAGATGCTGGAGGTGGTGAAAATGATCTGGAATCTGACTGAAGTAGGCGGAGTCTAAGCTGCTCCTCACCTGATTGGTCAGATTGTCAGTTTTGAGTTCCCGGTGGGTGGAGTACTGAATGAAGACAGGCTGGTTCCTGATGGTGGGCGTGGCCGATGTGTAGTAGTTCACCATGGTAACGGCCGCTTCCTCTGACGCCATCTCTAAAAATGCCTAAAACAAACAAACAAACAAACAAACAGGTTTGAATTGTTTACAAACAGGTTTGACTTGTTTACAAACAAACAAATAGGTCTGAATTGTTTACAGACGAACAAACAAACAGGTTTGAATTGTTTACAAACAAACAGGTTTGAATTGTTTACAAACAAACAAACAGGTTTGAATTGTTTA